CACGCCTCACGTCGTCTCGTGTCGTCTTAAATCGGCCCAAGTCGTCCCGCTCTAGGTTGTAAGAGCAATTATGCATACCGGGCACGTTGGATACTTCGCTCAAAATCGCGCCAAGCGCTGATTGATTTATATTTGTATGCAAATTGATCCGATTTGCGGCCTACAACTCCGCTGAGGCCCATCAGTCGCGGACAAAACGCCAAAGCATACCTCTGTAGAACTATTGTGGGGGAGCGACGACAACAACAACAACAACAACAACAACGACTTTAAATACCAACTATAATGGTCAGCTGGCCTTAATTTCATTTTGTAATTAGACAACAATGCCTTAACGCTGGAGAGTGCAACTGAACTTGGACTTATACTAACGATTAAAAATTAATAAATCATAAAGAAATACAATACGAATATATGAGGAACTTTTATCCGCTGATGCAACCCAACCTTTAGACTAATTAAAATGAAAAATGTAGAAAAAGTGAAACAGACAAAAAAAAAAAATTACAGACAACGACAACTTTACGAGCAACATAAACGAATGCGCCTGCAAATTGTTGCAAAACGGGAATTTTACTTCAACTCGCTTAGTGCCCCTCCAAGCCTGTCAGCACACACAGACAGACATCTACTATACTAGAAACCAGTTAAGAGCATTTAGTCTGCTTCACGTAGTCGACGGTTTTATCAATTCACATTAATTACCGGCCAGCACAAAAAGCTTTGACGACACTCTGAATATTTAAATACCCCGCTGGACACTTTTGACGCGCTACACGAATTACAATTAACAGAGATTATCAGATCCGTAAGTTCTTAAGTAAGTATTACGTATACAACGGCAAGCAACGAAACGTGGGTAATCCAACAGTGCAGTTGATAAGAAGTTATTAACTACTGGCCAGTCCATACCCATACCCGTACGATCCATCATCTGCGATTGCGCTGTCGCGAAATCGAGACAACCCAAGCGATAATCTCTTCTTATACCATTAATATTGCAGATTTTTCTGTCATGACTGACTCACCTAATAAACTTTAATTGCATACTTTATAAGTGACAGTCCATTAGAACTGGTATCGCTTTGACCAAACAGCGGCAAATTACGTTTGAAGATGTTCAGGAGCTCTTCATAAAAAATTAACTTGTACCTAAAGTACATATCCTATTAAATAAATTAAAAATTTAAATTTGCATATTATACCATCTAATCAGTGGCTATATAAGTTACAGATCTACAAGTTTAATAGCAGTTTAGTTTGTAAATGTATTGTATATTGGCAAAATGAAGAGGAAGATTTTCGAGATAATACTACTTATATTGTTAGCTTCCTCAAAATGTAAAAGATCCAGCATTTTAATAAAATAAAATTAATCTTCTTCCGTTAAAACAATGAGGAATACAATTAGGCAGCACAGGAAATCATAGGTTCATTGGTTCAGAATTTGCAATATGGTGTATAAACAAAAGTCCATTTGTATAACTAGATGAGTTGCTGTACAATTTGTTAAAAAAAACTCTGTCGAGCAAATAGTATTCTTAATTCAATTCAATCACGATTCCCCACTAAGGCTATCGTCAAGAATGCAAATATTTTGCACCCCAATTTCTTGAAATCCACAAGCATATCATATAATAATTTCGAATTTAGGCTAAAATGAAAAAATAGCAGCAAATTGTGTGCAGATTATTTACGTTTCTGACCGTGGACTAAGAGATAGCTTACTAGCAATACTATTTAATAGAGCTTTAGAAATTATCCTAAAGCTGAAACTTAATTCATAATTAACATAAGCAACAAAAATCTTGATAATTGTGTATACATATTTTGATTCTACTTAGAACTATGAAAAAATATTGAAGAGATCATAGATTCAAGTTTCGTAATACGGATTTGCTCGAGGCAAACAAAATTGGAAATCCCCGTTATACATATGTACTTATATATATGAGCGCTTCAGTTGTTTTGCACAGTACCTATGTATGTTTGTCTATAAAAGATTTGAGTTGTTGTAAATGTATTAGTGTGATCAGAGATCATCGATTAACTGTCAACTGCTAATGATGCCAATGCCAGTAGATTGATAAGTCAATAGGAATACAAGTATGTGTGCACATAGGTAGATTCATCTCAACGTTCTATCAATGATTACTTTGGGCACAAGAATTATTAGAAAAAAAATGAGACCTTTGCGTTGGGCAGCTAATTATGGACTGACAGTAATGACAGAACTCTTAAACTAAATACGACAGTTCTATAACCCCAGACGCCGTTCGCAATGACATATTTACAAAGTAATGAGTACCCACATTTAACTCATATGCAAAAAAAAAGTGCGAAAAACCACACAAAGTTGGGGCTTAAAGCGCCCCAACAACAACAACAACAACAGAAACGACAGCATCACAACAACAACAACAGCAGCAGCAAAATAACACAATTTATCATATACCCATTAAAAAGTCGACCTTGGCCATGAGTCTTCAAAACGGCAGCAACAAAAGTTGCTACTAAACTAATTTTAAAAACACACATAGTTGGAATCAAGAAATCGAAAGCGAACAAAAAGCGTAAACTAGTTTGCGTTTTGCAATCGTTGTTGTAGACAATATCTCTCCCGAAAACAGCACCCCCTTGGCTTACTTAATAGAGTTTCAGTTTGTTCATATGTTGCGTTTTCTGTCTCGACGATTATCCAAATCAATTTTCAACGAGCGTGCTGTCACAACTTCGCCAATACCCGTATAACTTAAGCCAATTGAGATATTTTTTTTTTAATATTTCCTACCTATAGGAATATTTATCGATCGTGTCTACAATAACAAAACTTGCGATGTCATCATGATGTGGCAATAGAAAACCGCTATTTAAGAATGTACTAGTTTAAAGCCGGTACGATAAATACTATAATTATACATACTTACGCTTATGTACACAAGTGTATATGACAGGGTTTAGAGATACTGGATGATTGGACAATCACCATCATTCATCACCAACTAATTGGATGGAAACCACAACCTATTTGATCGCAGCTAAAGAAAACAACAATTCGGCGAGCCAACAAGAAGTGCTTGAATATTTAAAATTCTACAAATAGAAAATATATATCTAGGCTCGAAATGAAAGGACTTCAATTCTGTTACCCATACAAGTCCACACCTTATCTAATAAAATAAAGTATAAAACAATTTTGAAGACAAACACCTTCCCTGTTGCACATAAATGTTTCAAATTTGTCGACCAACTAAATTCTTAAATAAAAACCCAGTAGGAAGAAACTAAAGATAGAAAACGGAAGAGTTCAGCATATCTCAGTATATCTAAATGGTAGATAAAATAAATAAGGGACAATAGTTTTAAGGTGAAAGGTTTTAAAGAGCGAAGAACATACTAGAGTTCGAAATATGTGCAAGAAGAATTACATTAGATATTATGCTTATTTTAAATGGATCTTTTAAAAATATACAGCTCTGTGGTTCGGAAATCCATGTTAGAGATATTTTGTTCAAAAGTTTTCAGTTTATGGCTTCCCTGAATTCAAGATCATAGTTATCTGGGCCATTATCTATTAATCTAAGGTACAACATTTTTATAATTGGAATACATGTATGAAAAAAGGTTCAAAGTAAGGTGTGCAATTCTTCTTCTTTAGTTCCCTTATTCCTCCGATCTAATATATTTTAATTACAGCAAATTCCTTACGGACGATACTTATTATTTTAGGATTAAGGAATTAAGAGTCAGATTTTCACTGTCTAGTAAGTAAGTTGTTTTAAGTTTTCACACTTGCTGAGTGTTTCTAACATATACAATAATTATTCGAAATGCCCCTTCTGGAAAGGGTAAATGGAAATGAAATTGAAACCGAAAACTAAAGAACGCTGATAGTCAAGCGAAAAAAAATGGGCAAGGTCATTATCAAGATGGCAACAGCAGAGACACTGAACATTCTCCTGGTCGGTCTGCTTATCAGTTTGCACAACTTAGACTAACAATGGATGTGATTAGGCTTAGCACAGTCAAGTATTTGCTTATATACTCAAATTCATATGAAAGTGTTGTTTTTAAGCCGTGACTAAAAGTCTCAATCGACTTGAATCATTTCTTCCATTCATTCAATACGTGATTGCAGTCCTCATAAACATTGAATTCGAGTTCTTGAATGCAAACAGAAGAATTCTTCTTTCTTTCATCTGGCAAATCATACATAGACCAATTCGCATATTAATTATTCTATACTATTTAAAGGGCTTTGAGAAATTAAAAGCTGAGCAACACGTATCTATTTACATATGTGAATGTTTTTAGAATAGGCTGCGAACTTTGGGCTCGATAGGTAGAAGAATTACAACACCCAGAGACACACATTTCAATGCACATACATATGTACATACATACATACATATGTGTGTAGATGAGGTGTGTAGGCAATTACATACGGGTACTATATAGTATGTACATACATATACATATATAGTACGAGAGTATGTGCACATGTTTGTAAGCCTTGAGCGCGTCTCTGCTTGAGCGTCAGCGATAGTTTTCACTTTCAATTGTTGTTAACATTTTAGGTACGTGTGAGTCAAATTGTTATCGTCGCTGGCATTTTTATGCTTTGTTTTGTTGTGTCTTTTGTGGCTGCTTCTTATGCCGTCGATTGCAGTAATGCAAATAAACAATGGGCCGAAAATAAGAAATACAATGAACAAATACAACAACAAAAAACTAGTCGCAGACCCACTGGAGAAGTCAAAAAATAAAAAAGAAGAAATGCCGAAAAGACATATTGAATAAGCTCGAATTGAAAACGAATTGAAAACAGCTGTCGTCGTTTTACGCCACGGCTTTGGATTTTATTGGTCAGCCTAAATATTGGTGGTACTGCTGTTGCTGTTGTTGTTGTTGCTGCTGCGGCTGCTGCTGCTGCTGCTGCTGTAATCGCTATTTTTGGGATGTTGCAACTGTAAGGAAGTAAAACTAGTTGACTTACTAACCTCACTGCACTTGTTGCACTTCGTTTCTTGCCTCTGTCCACGGAGCCAAGTCTTGTTACTGTTGGCGTTTTTGTTTCTCGTGTTGTTTCTGTTGTTGCTCTTGTTTATGTTGCTCAACCAAACCAAAACCAAAAAAAATATATATACCCATAAACTTAACAAACAAACAAACAAACAAAAAATTGAGGTTCACACACAAACAAAACAAATTACTAAACTGAACGCGCGGCACTTGGTCTTCTATTTATGCGTTTTTGAGCCACGGTTTTTTTTTTACTTTCGATTTCTTCTTTGCCAACTTCTTGCACGTTTGTTTTTACTGTTGTTGTTTTTTTGTTTTTGTATTTGTTTTTGTTTTTCTTTAGTTATGCTATTCACTTGTCATGTAATCATCAAGATCTTCCTCCACATCTCTTTTTACTAATGCGCGTTCGATCTGAGATCAGAAATCGGAAAACATAAATCAGCGATCAACGGATCGACGGATCTGCGACTGGCAATTGAAAGTTCCGCTCAGACGTCCGTTGGCAACGCTTGCCGCAATTGAACTGAGCTTAACTAAAACGCGTTACAGAGAATTATTTAATTCCTCAACTTGGCTGCCGGTGTGCGTCGCTGTCGCTGTCGCTGCTGTTGCTTGTGTTGCTGCTGTTGCTGGCGTCGATCGCGAGCGTCGCTGCGCAGCTGTACAGCTGTGTTGTTGTCACCGTCGCGCCGGCGTCATCGTCATCGCAATCGCCGTTGGGGGAGTGAGAGCTTAGCCGACCATACGCCCGTCCGCCCATTCCCAGCGCCAACAACAATACCGTCCACCTTGCCGGCTTGTCTGTAGCTTTGCGTGCTGCCGCCGCTTCTGCTGCTGCTGCTAACTGTTTTTATACCCTGTACCCGAGCGTAAAAAGGGTATCTTTATTTCGTGCTAAAAATGTAACAGCCATAATATATACACACATATGTACATGCGTTCTTAGTCAATCTACACATATTCGTCCATTTGGATGAACGCCTGGATTACAGAAATGGAGACCCCATAAACCAAACGTGTTATGTAGATTCTGGACAGCATTAATTGATTTACTTTGATTATTTTTGTCCCCCTGCTGCGCTATGGTATTTCGTCACAATACTACCAAAAATTCCATAGCTACATAAACTAAGCTTTGCACACGTCATTCATAGATAATTCTCTACTATCTCTATTTGAAATTTTATCTAAATAGAATAATCCTAAGAATCAATCAAACTGCAGCAGCAACTCGCTCTACTTCTTTTTCTTCTTATTGCTTCTGCTATGCGCGATAACGGCGGCGGAAGCTGGTTACAGGGTATTTCACTGTCGCACTGGCTCTTTTGCTTCTGCCGTCAGCGAGAATTGCGTGCAGCAATCTTTCTGGCCAACTCACCAGTATTTTGCTACCGTACTGAACTTTGACCCAAAAAGCGCGCAATGGCCCGGAAGATTGTCGTCCGATCTGTTCCAATTGACATTTACAGCATAACTCCAATTACAGGAAATAGTTCCATGAATTGAAAAAAATATAAATACTAGTTGCCCATTTTTTCGGTGTCTCGTTCCAAATATAACATTAAAAATAATTCATATTATGGCCATAAACTGCCACATTTTGCGATAAATGCGCCATAGATATATAATATACTTGTACATATATTTATTATAATCATAACTGAACTCACTCAACCGTGTAACGTCCCTGCCATTATTCCATTAGCATTTTGCCTCGATTTTTAACTATTTTGTCAAATCGTATGGTATACTTGTAGTACGATTAACATGGCTTCAAAGGGAATATTTTTAAAGCATGAGTACCTTTAGGGATATACGCCAACTTATTGCGAAATACAAACAATTATGCAACTAATCGATTGAATTTAGATTGTTGTACAACTTTTTATAAAGTATGTAAAATGTTGTTTAATATTTTGTTGCAAATCGATTTGTCTAGTTCTATGTAAATAACTTACATAAGTATCTGTAGAACAGCGAGCAGATTAAAAGACTGATGTCTGTCCTTTGGCGCAAAGACAATAACAAATTACAAAACCGAACAAGTAAAAAGCAAAGATGGCAAAGATTTTGCCAAATAAGTGGAGTGTCCTTAAAAGGAACTACAGTCAACAAATTGACAAACATTTTTATTTTCGAATATTTCAATCTGGGCATTTTACTAAATAACTGGAGTGACATTAAAAAAAAAAACATAATTGAATAAATTCCTCCTAACATCTAGGAAATGTGGTGACTGCATTCCATAAACAAACTTTCATGAAAACGAATTTTAAGGATACATGAAACATATTGTAAAGTCGTTTTTTTTTTTTTTTGAGTATACCATCTATTATTTTCCATACAAAATGTGTCAATCCAGTAAAGGAAAGTTTCTTGAAAATTTGTGTGCGCCCCCAATTATAACAAAAACATCAGCTGCTGTCAGAGGATTGGCATAAAATGCTTGGCCAATTTTATTGGAAGATAAAAATGGATAAATACTTGTAGTTTCTAAAAGAATTCAAGAACGAAATTCTAGGAATTGCAGGAGTTTTGAAGGAATACAATAAAAGATCTTGGACAGGTGGATCTAGATGCTAAGGGTATAGATTTCATTTTTCATGAAGCAAATGTGCACTACTACCGAACCATCATAAACATAAACTTGTTCCTTCCCGGACTCAGCAGAACATGCGTACAAAGATTGGCGAATCTGGCCTTTATACTTGTGGATATTCCAGCGAACGGACATGTCTAGACAAAGTGTCTAGACATGTCTAGACTCGTCTTTTTAGGCTGATCAAAGAATTAATGCATATACTGCTTCTAGGTGTTATACAAGTATAATACCATTTAGCATTCTGTGGTACAGGGTATTAAAAGAGCAACGAATGTCAAATCCGACTGGAAAGCCGGAAGTCAAATCCAAGCCAACACGATTAACGCTACTACCGGAAACAATGTTTAAAATCTTTGAAGAGCCAGTACGTATTATAATGTACGTATTTATTTATAACCAATTTTGATTCTTTGAAATCTGCAATAGCAAACAAACACACCAAATTAAAAAGAGCCAAACCTTTTGGAAACAATTTCATTCATTTCTATTAACACATTCGTTCATGAACAGATTAATATAATAAAAACGGAGCCATGTATTATTCACTATTGTTTTATTAGATGTTTTGCAAGGCTTCTTCGGAACAGACGAGTTGTCTGACTCGCTGTATGAAAATACGAGTGCACTTGCACCCGCATTCGAATCGCATTACAGGGGTCCGGAACGATGTCAGTAAGTTACGAGCAATAAACAAACAGTTGGTTGTTAGATTGTCTTGAGTGCTCGAAAATAAAAATATAGTGCGTCCGCCTGCACTGAGGAAAAACATTTGTCAAGTGTTTGTTTGTGGGACCAACTGCATATCGTTTTAACCATTAACGTGTATCGATATCTTCCAGTAGATTCGTAAAGCAGATGTTGTTGAAGTTTTTAAAGCCCAGCACAATTTTTTCCCCAATTGCTCCACACTTTGCCCTTCGGCTAAATTATACGAACCAGAACCATTCTGGCCAATAACAACTGACTAGCAAAAATGGCCAAAAGTTGCGCTTGGTTGCGTATCAGTTGCGCATAATTGCCAAAGTCATTTAAAAAAACAACAAACAAAAAAGAGAAGTCAAAAAGCTGAAAAAATAATACATATACATACACATACATATAAATGTGTGTGGGTACGGGGGTGGGGAGGGAGGGGGGGTAGCCACAGCTAAATGGCAAGAAGTGGAATTAAAACCGAAATCTACTTAAAAATTGTTTAATAATACAAACGGACAAACGCACCAAAAGATACCAATCTGCAATTAAAGTTGCTACAAAAAAAAAACCAAGAGACCGACTATGGTAAGGGTCCAGAGATACAAAGCTGCCCAGAATTCCCATGCGCATCGATTAATTAACTCGGCTGTGCACTCTGCACCCGGCTTGGGAGGGGTGGGAGGGGACCAAAGACTGGGGCAACTTTTGGCCAATTTAATTGCAGCATTCGAAAAACAAACGTTTTAAATTGTTGGGCATGTTCAGGAAGCGACAGCACAAGCACTCGAAGTTATAGCGAAACAAAACGACACCCAAATTGTTGGTTATCGAATGGTAATTTATGTAGCCGGAAAATGGCAAATAAAGCACATCGCACTCGGGCACGACCCACAGCCGACACGCAGCCGCCTGATCGACATCGAGCAGCCACGTGTGGCCTGCGAATTTTTTCGGTCCTACTACTACTACTCGTAACTTGCCAAGTAAGCAGTTTTAATTACTCGCTTTTACTGTCTAAGCACTTAATGGGATCTCCAAAAGCTGATGTCATATTTTCGGGCCCTAAAAACATTTATAGAATGGCCAAGTATTTAAATACTTAGTTTAATGCGAACATAAACAAACGCACACAATTGATGTCACAATTGTGTATTAAATCGTCTGTTGTTAATTACATGTTTCGTCATCGAATAGAATTGCAGCCAGTCCTTTCAAATATGCTATTGAATATTTTTATGATCAGGAATTTTCTAAACTATTATTCCTTTATCAGTTTTAAACCCAAACTCTTACAAAAACAGCACTACACTATATTTTGATGGTAAGCATTGAACGATTTGGTTTCACTTTCGGCCGCTAGTTTTAATACTCATAGAGTTCTACAAAGTAAACAGGACTTTAAAAAAAAAAAACAGAACAAATGGTTTTTTTGGCAAATCAATTTATTTTATTCAAAATAGTCTCCTTCTGCTTCAATACAGCTTTTTGCACGATCCAAAAGCATGTCGAACAAGTGTTTTAGCTCGTTGGCCGGTGTGGCCGCCAGTATGCCGGTGCAAACCTTTTGAATGGCCTCTACGTCTGCATAACGCTTTCCTTTCATGGGAAAATGCATTTTTCCGAAAAGGTAGAAGTCGCACGATGCCATATCAGGTGATTTTTGGTCAAATAATCGGTCACAAGCGTCGATCGATGAGACGGATTCTGAGCAATTTTTGGTCGTCAGTCAATTTGTGCGGAACAAACCGTGCACACACCTTTTGTAAGCCCAAATGTTCGGTCAAAATGCGATAAATCGATGTTTTGGAGATATTCAACTCCATTTCCATCACGGTGATCACGAATTTTGATTGGCCCACATGTTGATCGTCATTTATGTCCTCAGGACCACTTTGAAAACGTTGAAACCACTCGTGCACTCTACTACGGGATAGGCAATCATCGCCATAAACTTGTTCCATCAATTGAAATGTTTCGGTAATAGTTTTACCATTTTTAAAACAAAATTTAATGTTGGCTCTTTGTTCGAAGCTCATTTTCGCACCGATAACACAAACATACTGACACTCAAAACGCAATAACTTCACTTCCAATCGATGAAATGTCATGAAATTCTCACTGGACAATCGATAAAGATAGCAGATTCTAACGCACCAGTCGACATACAGATAGCGCCACCAGGGGGCGCTAGATTCAAAGAGTCCTGTTTACTTTCGAACGTCCCTTGTAGTAGAAACAATTTTGCCATATAAAGTCGACCACCCGTTCATTATTATGACGCATTATTTCGCCTTAAAATGGATCTGACTTTGATTTATTGAAGTTTTTTGATTGATCATATGCATAAGTCATTTTTTAAATGCATCGTGCATTATTTGATCAAAATTTTAATTTTTTGGTTATCAAGTATTAGTTCTGAAAATATCTTTATGCTCAATAAAAGTACACGCACTTAGTGCACCAAACTGGCATTCAATTGTTGTCATAAAACTCTTATAGAAATATATAACAAATAATAACAATATTTAATGTTATTTATATTCCGCATGTAGGCAATATTTAATTTTGCTGAAATATTTTGAACCAATGAATTCGAAAAATGACGACAGAAAGAAAAGATCGGAGAAAAGAAGACTGGTGGATACAACCAGAGTGCAAAGGGAAATTTAATAAAACCACATGACGTTGGACAAAACCAAGAAAGAACACATAAGTATTGTTTTGGAAAACAATCTACATGTGAGTATCCAAAGTAAACAAGCCTATTTAAATCTAAAGTTGCAGTCGAAACAGTGCATGAATATAGCAAAAATCAGTCCAAATCATTCAAAATAACATTAAATCAACGAATCGTGGCATTTTAAGGGAACAATTTGGACAGCAATACAAAAATTGCTCACAATTCGACAGAATTTTAACCATCAAGCAGCTGATTTGGCTTCGCATAACTATTACCCATTCGGAACATCAAAACGACTTTCATTTTATGGAAATTCATATACTTGTATATATATTTAGTGGAATATCAATATAAAATAAACACACTCTCATTCCTTATTTTGTGAACATTATCACGAGCATAGGCTTAGGCTATTCGAGCTCTTTGTGCTTTCAGTACTTAAAGCTAATTTGTAAACAATGTACCAAAAAAAAAAAGGATTGCCTCTGCAATTTACGATTGTATATTTGATGTCAAACAATTATTTCTGTATATTTGTTATTATTATTGTTTTAAGCTATAAGTCCCTGTTTTTTTTTTTTTGTTTTTTTTTTTTTTTTTTTGTTCTATCCATATGATATGATAACATGAGTGTACTTAGGTATACCTTAATTAGACTCACCTAAGATACTTAAATAGACAATAATTCTTTGGGTTGTCAAGACTTACAGTGGGTTCTTTTTTTTAACATAGAAAGTAATGTTTCATTGCAATTGTTAGAAATGTTTAAAAGATAGTTATCTGGCACTTATGCATCGACAAAATGGTGAGTTATGAGCCAGCTCTGCATAAAATTAAATTGCCAGCACCAGCGCCAGCCAGCTCCAATCGGCTTAGCCTTAAAGCACGATAAACGGACAGTAACAAGCGCTGACAAGCACATCAATTGGCCGGTCAAAAGTCAAGAATGGAAAGTTTTGCCTATCGAACGAAATTGCAACAAAATACAAAGCATACAAAAGACGGACAGCACGGAATCAGAATCGGATTTCCAGCTATGCCGAATGACGGGGTCGTAGGGGGCTAGGCAGGTAATAAAGCATGCCTATACGAATCGCGTTTCAAACTCGACAGATTTTTAATAGCGATTAATGCATCGCTGGAAGGCACATGTAGTGACATCTGCGACGGCGGGCCAACGATGCACTTAACTGGCATTATAAGCTGACGATTTACTAGATATACACATCCATATATATGTAGAAGTAATGATCACAGTTATCTCCACAACCGGTTTAATGGCGTGCTCGCCGTGACGAAAATAATTAATTTACATATCTAATGAAAAAGTCAAAACAAAAACTGAGAAAACCAGACTTAACATGAAAGGAAATGTTGCTAAGCCATTGGCTAACTGCTTACTGCTCGAGCAGATTACGGTACTCGGCCAGTAACTGCTCCTCCTGCACCAACGGCAAATCCAGATAGTCCTGATCACTGTGAGTGAGGTCCGCATTAAAGCGATTATACGCCTTATACGATTCCATTTCGGCTTTGGCTTTGTGCAGCACCGACTCAATGAGCGCCCGAGAACGGGGCGAGTCGAACAGCTGGCTTTGTTGACTGGCCGCCGACGATGTGGACGGTTGATCACTTATGGTGGCGGCACCAGTGGCGCCAGTAAGGCCTTCTTCAATCAGACGCGACATACGGTCTACAGTGCTGCGCAACTCTTCCTCGCTCTCGAAGGCTTTGAGCAAAAATACAATCGCCAGATCTATATCGTTCTGAGTGGTCTCCAAAGCCACGCGTGCTGCTTTCGCATCGAAACCGAGCTTCTGTAGTGACCTTAGCTGCCTTTCATCGGCCGCCGGCACAACGGGCAATGAGTTGCGCAACTCATCTGGGCGGTTTTGCAGCATATCGACCTGCAAAGATGGGAGGAATTTAAGAATTTCGAATTCACACTGTGCTAGTCTTCCTATTTTTATTTACCGCACGCGACATATCGTTTTCAGTGCGACGCAACGCTTCTACCACGAGCTGGCGCTCGAATCCCATGTCAGTCAGGGCGCAAACGCTGCGCGGATTAACCCAATTGCCATCATTAGCCGCCTGATGACCATAGCGGCGATTTACTTCGCGCTCGGCTTTCGAGTCCTGGCGCGCTTCGTTCAGCTTTTTTTGGCGCTCTTGTATGAACTGCACGGCTCGCTCTACATCGCCAGATGTGGAGCGCAGTGCCAGGCGTGCATCACAGACATCGAAACCCATCTCTACTAGCAGCACTAAATGCTCATCGTTCACCTTTAACTCGTTAAGTGCAGCGGCCGCAATTTCAAGGCGCTCGTAGGCCTCATCGCGACGATTTTGATGAAATAGAACAACGCCTTGGAGCAGGTGGAGTCGCATTATAAGCGCACGCTCTGGACAGGCTTTGCCCTTCAAGGCATACAGACGGGCAAAGTTGTCCCCATAGCTGCGTCGAAAACTGCGTTCACATATGCTAAGACGGCGCTCTGCATCCGGCAATTGCGACACATTTTTCAGACACAAATAGCACCAGACTATATCTAGATTCAGAAGAGCATAGTTGTCCACTGATTCAAGAAATTTGGAGTTACATGTGGCAAACTTTTCGTCCGCCTCCAGCAGCAGCAGCAATGCCTCATCATAATCCTCGCGGTGCATAGCCGCGCGGGCTTTTTCACAAAAGCCCATGCCGATGAGCAGAGCACGATTCTCGTCTGGCGGCAGGAAGACTGGATTACCATCTTGGTCCTCCATCTAAGCAAATACAACATACAAATATATGCATATAAAAAGAGTTATATTCAAGAAGCCCACCTCCACAAGTTGGCGTTGGGAGTCCACTACTGTTTCCACATCCGTCTTTATCTTGTTAATGCGCTCGTATAGAGTGCCATTTTTGTTATCACCGGGCTGACCCACAATCACAATTAGTTGCTGATTATTTTTTAAGCCTTGCGACGATAGCGTTGCATCAGCAGCCACAATTTTTCCAGCTGATATGCACTTCACATGGCTTGCGTTGCTCAGTTGAAGCTTTTGAGCAATTGCCAACTGCAAAGCTGCGCCCAAAGCATTTAAATCACATTTTACATCGACCATTGTGGTCGTACCGCCTCGATTGTCTATGCGACGCACCTTAAATGTCGCCAAGCCCGTCTCGCTGAACTCACGCCGAGCGGCCAGCTTGCGCAATGCATTGTCCTGCAGCTCGGCGAGCACACATCTACAGTGCGAGACATCGATGCCCAATTGGATGCTATAATCGGTTGCTAGTTGCTGTGAAAATTAAAACAGATCCACAATTTAGTTTTACATCATAGGCTTAAATTGGTTTAAGTCCGTGATTCTCTCTTACTTCCATCGCAGCTTCAATACTTCCCAGGCCCTCGGAGTAATACGGTTCTTCCCACAATCTAATGCCTTGCTGCTGCAGTCGCGCTCGAATTTGTATAAAAATATTATCCATTTGGGACATGGTAGTTGGGCTGGTACTGGTGGCGGTACAGGTTGTAATCGGATGACTTTCCGAAATGTGAACACTTTTTGTGAACGACTAAGAATTTCACAATGAGACGTCACTTCTGTACAAGGTACGCACTATTTTGGGTAAATTGGGTCTTCAATAGATTGTGTCAAAACAGATGTAAATAGTGTCAAAACCTTAAATGAATACACGCTTGTATACATCAAGGCATACTAATTTGTGACTATTTCATTTGCTTATGTTCCACACTCCATCTGTTCTGACACGTATAACGTATTGTTGGTATATTGTTTATATATTTACCCGAAAAAAAACAAATATAAAAACTTAAATCGTCTAAATGCAAACAAAGAAATGTGGCCAGTCATCTAAAACGACATCTGCTGTCAATATATCGCTATATGGTCACACTAAAATGCACTAACGATGTAAAACAGTCAGCTTTTGTCAGAGAACAGATGGCGGTTGCTTCGACAACGGTTTTTTAAATTCAATAAAGTACCCGAAGTATTTGTTGGGTATTGGAAGTCTTTAGCAATATATTTTAGAAACAAGAAAAATAAATACATACCTTAAAATATATTCTCAGCTCGTTCGCAATTCTTGAACCGTTTTTAGTTTATAAAAACTAAATAGCAATATTTCTATGTACTCTTCTGGAAAAATTTGCCTGTAGATCATGTGAAACAACATGAGATGTATTTATTACTGCGTATTTATACTGCGCCTTCGCCAAATGAGGAACATATTCCTGTTGAGCTCACCACCAGCGCTAGATAACCACCCTGAAATACACCGAGCTGCTGCCACCTGTAATGATTCGCATCGCTGCACACAGGCAGCGCCGCGGCGCGTCGACTCCACGTGCTTGTAGTGCCGTCCCTAAAAGGACAAAATAATGGAAAGAACAAATTCAGTCGGCATTGCACAAGCTGTCAAAAGTGCTGGCGTTGTGCAGCGAAGAGAAGAATGGTGGTAAATGCAACGCTGGCAGCTCTCAAATTATTTGTCATACGACGGCCGTGCAACCTACATCAAAAACAACTAAAATAAAAATACAGACACACAATGAGCACAGCTCAATAAAAAGTTCTTCGAGTCGAGAATTTGTTGTAGCCCTCCGACGACTAAAAAGCGAATCAGCGACAAAGCGAACCAAATTGCGAGTATTTATAATGAAAAGTGAAAAGAAGGAAAACCCAGCAGCCACCGGCAAGGTGCCTAGCGACAAAGAAAAAGTAAGCAGGTTAGAGGCCAGGAGACGGGAACAACAGCAGATCCATCGACAACGCATTCAACAGCGACAGATCCAGCAGCAGAAGAGAACAGGCTTTAAAGACCCCATCAGAGATAGAAGGCAGACCCAATACAAAGCATGTGGCGATGCCAAGGCGAAGCTTATCACAGACCAAGGACTACACCTAGACGCAGAGTGCGGATGTCGCCAGCAGCAGCTTCAGCGTCGGCAACAATTGCAGTTAGCACAGGCTATAGCTGAAGCCGAAGCTCTGAAACACAATTCCCAAAATAATCAAAAAGTAAATGTTATTCAACGAGTGAATGGGACTGGGACCGAGACCGAGAATGAAGGTGTGCTGCGCGCGCAACTGGAGAGAATAGCTCAGCTGCCACCAGACGAATTCGCAACACAATTCCGCAATTGGATGGACGAGGAGGACATTGCTCGGGAGCTGCATGCACATTTGCGTGCAGATCTGATAGCCTCGTTTAACAACACCACACTGGGTGAGTAAAGGGAAAAAGAGGTATTAGTTGATCCTCAATTGGGCCATTTCCTGTCATAAATTTTTGTATTTTCCTCCAACCATTCATTATCTAGAGACTTCAAGCATTGTGCAACATTGCTTTGATCTCTAAGCAACTCTTTATCGGACTGCTTGCATCGCCTGACGGAATTGTTTAATCAGATTCATACGATTTAAAAATATTACTGCCCACGTGCAGCAGAGTTCGTACACATATACAATAGCATCATTCTGCAGAAATAAAACTTGTAATATAACAGTACAATCATTGAATTTATTCTATTTTGAGAGCAGATATTATCTGCGATATTCATGTCCCTCTCATTATCTTCTCTTGAATACGGAAATTGATTAATTTTCAGGCGTGATCAATTTCGATTGAAACACTCTTATGTAGACTTGGTACCTGTCATAAAAATGCGGTTGAAATTTCAGACAGTCTCTTAGTTAGCAACTCTCTTTTTTTACCATTGTAGTCTTTATATTACAACTCATTTCTTTCTTTTTAATTCCACCAGGTCAGCACATGCACATGCTGAGACACGCCTTCGCTGTGAAAAACAAACAAGGACTGCTGCTCTCACCTCTTTCGCTTTCACTGTTCACGCTTGTCGCCGAATTCCTGTACGCTCAAAATTGTCATTTTACGCTTTCCGTGTTCTGCAGTGAAACACCCTATCGCCAAACGATGCCCGATTTTGATGGCCGGAATGGGTTTCGTTTTGGCGATGTGGAGATGCAGGAAGTACTGGCCGCCGTCATGGGTTTCAATACGGAGACGGAGCCGCTGGAAAAACTGCGGCAATCAGTGCAGCACAACTATCAGGAATATCATCAGTCTATGCTATTTGCTTTGCTGAAATCACTTGTCGATATTTATCATTTTAAGCATCCGACTCCCCTATCTGTAACGCATATCGGCACTATGACCGAGATAAACCAGGTGGACGCTCAAGTAGAGGCTGTAGTGGAGGTTAGTGTGTGCTGCCAGGAAACACAAACAGCACCTTTAACCTCTCTGCCTTGCGAGCCGGCTGAAGGTAGCAATGGTCAGGCTGAGAACCTTGTTTTGGATGCCGATGGTCGCACTGTGCTCTGTGGACCACGCGTTACGCAATCGGTGCATCATGTCCAAAACCATTTGACCTCTCTGGTGGGGGAGATAAACAAACTCGCTAAATGCTGTTTTCCACCCGTAGAGGTCATTAGCCGTGCCAACTTCAACCGCCTTATGGAGGAAGAGCTACGAGAGCGAGAGCGCCTATATCGCCTAGGTAAGAAGCTGCCAGAGGCGGAGTTGGCGCTGCCGTCCAATATAGCGCCAGCGAAGCCTGTCATCCCTCCCGCCATCGGTGGTTACGTGCAGTCTCCAGCGGGTCCCATCAAGGTCCCAGCACAGGCGGTCAATGTGCCTCGGCTACCCAATCTACATGCTGAGCAGGTTGCGACGCTGGTTATGGTGCGTCAGCTTTACAATCAACAACAGAGACAATTACGAAATCCACCCACCAAAATATGTACAGCACTGGATAAAGTGGAGCTACTGATCGTGGAGGTGTCCACATGTCTGCAAGCGCTTAATAATGTGCTAAACCTAGCCATGGAACAGGAGCATGAAGTGGGCCTCAACAAAGGCTTTAAGGCGGGATACAAGGAGGGTTTTGCCCATGGCCATTATATGGGTGAGCAGGAGGGACGACAACTGGCAGAGAAAAACTTAGCACCAAAGCCAAAGCCACTCACCAGTGAGGCGGCTGTGCAGGCAAACACGAAGCCGAAAGTGAACAGAGTGCGGGTGCAAGCAATTAAGTGTCATGTGGGCACAAGCATGGAGAGTATTAAGATGCAGATGGTACACACTCAAACAGAACCAGAGCCTCCACCACCATCGCCGAAGGAGAAGACCTACGAGGAATGGATCTACGAGATGCTTAACACTACTAGTGGCCAAATGTTTCTGGAGCGCGTTGAATTATCGTTGAATAAGGCACTTGAGCTGCAAAAACAGCGGTTGGACCAGCTTTATGATATCAAATTGCGCCATCAAAGCGAGATGCTTCGACTGGGTCAGCGGCAGGTCTCATGGCGTGTAAGTAGCTGCAATACAAAAATCCGTTCCTACTTATCTCTCCTCTCCCCCCTACTATGACAGGCCTTGTGCCGACGAGTCGAACGCGACTCCTCCGGTGAGGCGCGTGATTTGGTACATAAAATCTCCCGTTTGCTTGAGCATTACGAGGTTCATCAGAAAAATTTGAGTAACAAAATGCAAGCCACAGAAGAAGCGGCACAGCGAGCGGCACGGGTACAGCCCTTGTGGGATCAGTCTGTCTTGTCAACGGCCCCTCCGACGTCGGCGGCTAGTTCTACTACTGTGACTAGTGCAGCCACAACGCCACGACCGACAATAAAGCCGCCCGGAAAACATTTTTGGAGTCATCAAGAACACATGCAACCACCACCCCAGCTAACAAAACAATCATCTTTGTATCAAGCATCTCAATACCAAGCATCTCAATATCAAGCACCGCAATATCAAACACCGCAGTATCAAATTCCTCAATATCGAACCCCTCAGCCCCAAGCACCTCAACACCAAGCACTTCAACCCCAAGTACCTCAACCCCAAGCATCGCAACCTCTAAACCTTCAACCTCAAGGGCTAGTACAGCCTCAAGGGCTAGTACAGCCTCAAGGGCTAGTAATGCCTCAAGGGCTAGTACAGCCTCAAGGGCTAGTACAGCCTCAAGGGCTAGTACAGCCTCAGGGATCAGGACAGCCCCAGGAATCACTGCCAGCTCAAGAGCTCCCGCCACTTTATGTGCAACCTCAAGCAGCACCGCAGCCTGAAGTAATACCTCAACCTCAAGTAGCACCGCAACATCAAACTCCACCGCAGCATCAAGCGCCACTGGAACCTCAACCGGCGGCGCGTTCTCAAGCACCATCTGCTTCACCTTCAGTAGTCGCCACCCAGACCACCATGGGGTCCTCCAAGCCCTTGATGCACACGGTGGCGACGAACACAATGCACTCCTTGCAAGTTTCTCGTGATCAGAAGAAAGTTGAGGGTCACACCAGCTTCGAAGATGTGCTGCTTAGCGCTAAGTAAATAGTTATTCAATACTTATTCATATATATAGCTAAATTTCCTCACCTTTATCTACAGAAACCGTATGCTGGAGTTGGAGCAGGAAAGCAATCTGCTGGAGGAGAGCTTTTTCAGTTATTTAGAACATGCCCATGATGAGAAGCAAGAGGCTACTAAGCGAACTACCGCACAATGTGAACAACTCAACGAGACACTGATCAGCTTTCGGCAATGGCATCGTCGCATTCGAAGTAACGACAACGTTGATGACGAAGTCAGGAAGATTGAAAAGCGGGTGAAGACACTGCAACGGGATCGTGAGCTGCTAGCTGGGCAGACATCCCAAAACAGTGGCTCTGAACAGGAAGAGAACAGCTATCACTTTACCAATGCCATTGCTGAGGCACGAAGTAAGCTTCTAGCGGAGCTTAATGGATGGCCGGATAAGGATGAGAAGGAACAAAGCCTGATTAGTGCCGGGAATTCCTGCTCTATGGGCAAGCTAGGGCTGTCCGAGCTGCCAAGCTTGCCGATAGAGCAGCAGCACTCCGGCTTAATAAAGAAGTTTAAGCTGCCCGAATTGCCAGAGTTGCCAATAGAGCAGCGGAAACGCGTGGATCGAATAGAAGCAAGCTTTGGAAGTACTGTGGTATCTACTAATGTCAGACCACATCTTCTCACCCCATTAGAGATGAGCACCGCTACAACGCCGACAAGCAGCGACCATGATATAAGTCGCCTGATGCAGCGCATCCAGTTTGCTATCAATCGGTGTAGGCCGCCCGAGCAAATCAGTGATATGCCCTCTGCAATAGATCCTAGTGACGTAAGCTTCAGTCTTTCGAGCAATGGCGGCGACGGCGGTGGCACTTGCAGCGATTCACTGGACATTTTGGATGCAACACGTCCGCGGCATTCGGAGAAGAGCAGCGGAGATGTGGCTCAACTGTCAGCGCCAGAAACTACATCCATCAGCAGCAAATTGCAACGCTCCATGGCCAAAATGCAAGTGCTGTTCTCTAGCCCAGACCCGATAGAGAAGCAACCGATTACAAAAGCGCCACGCCCTGCCAGTGCCCCATCGGGCAAAATGGAAATTATGCGACTGGAAAGACGACCCCACACGGCGCCAGCAATGATTAGCACAAGCTTAATCGCATCTACTTCACCAATATGCCAAAAGTCACCGAATTTCGCTACGCGGGAAATTTACCCGACTGTCGGCGACATAAATGGAAGCAGTCCTAGCCATAGCAGCAAATCGAACTGCCAAGGAAGCCCATCGAGCCGTGAGTTGCGTGCTTCCTACGCACGCCTGCTGAGCACCTCTGTAATCAACACTGAGCCGCCACAACCGTTGGTGTCCAGTCTCAGCCCTCCGACTAGCCCGGAAGGGTCTTATAGTAGTCAAGATTTCTGGAAGCGACTTAGAATGTGACATCGCTTGCACACAATAAAGAACCATATTATATTTTCTAAGCCGCTATGCCGTATTTATTATACAGCCATTCGTTATTTCATTTCTATGACTATGTGAATCGAAAGGAGTGTGTGCCAAACCGAGTTCGCCCCAAGTATATGCGAAATAAAATTTGAACACAATTAAAATCAAGTGACATTACTTACGTAGGGACACGGCTAATCCGCCCATCTCTACATTAATTACATATATGCTCTTTCTATTTATTATTTACTATAAATAGCATGAGTCAACGTATTCACAAGGAATAATTACTTAAAATTGTATTGAGTTATTTAGGATACATTTTCATCATAGAATAATTCGTACACTAAGAGCAGGTTCCTTCACTGATTGACTTACTCTTACTCTGGCGCTCGTCATCGGAACATTAAGAATTCGACTTATCGACTCAGCAGAGGAGTTTTGCTTTAAATAAATAAAATACTGTAGGCGCATGTAATATTTAACAAAAAATACGAAATAACAAATTAGAAAAATATTGAGTTCAATTAATTGAAACTTTTTCTGGCCGAGAGACAGAAAACAATATCTACTGCCTTCAGTTATACTTAGAACCTTTTACACTGCTGTTCCGTTAATAAGATCGTATTGCTCTTGAGTGGTGGCGCTCCCAAAAAGACTGGCATGCGAACGCCGACGTTCCCGCTCGATCTCGTCTAGATCGAAGGCATCGTTGATAGCAAAACTCGGACGTCGCTGTTGATCGTCGAAAGCATAGGCGCGCTGGAACTTGGCCGGCGGAGGGTGCAGTGCAGTGCCTCCGCCGATGCCGCTCACGGCTGGCGCATAGACCTGATATCCAGAGCTGCGATAATTGGACGGTGAGGAGGGTATGGCCGCTGGCCAATGCACCGCTGCCTGCTGCAAATTATTGCCTGCTTTGGGAAGAGCAGTCGCTGGTGGCGGATTCACTTCCTCGGCGGGCTTGTGCAACGTCAATGTAGAGAGGAAACGATTCTGCTGCTGCAGCTGTTGTTGGTGCTGCATCATTAGTTGCGAGAAGCGCTGCTGACTGGCGCTAAAGTTGCTTTGCAGTGACCCAAAGCTCTCCTGGGAGCCGGCCACGCCCATGCCAGTTGCCGGCTGGCGGAGGAAGCAGCGCGGTAAGGTGCGACTCTGCGTAGGCGCGAGCGCAGGAGCTGGCACTCCATAATCTTGAGGAAGTCGCGACTGCGAACCACCAAAGTGTGTCCCGGGCCAGACATCAAAGGATGTGGAATCGCAGCGGTCGAGATCATAAAGACTCTGACGATCGGCATGCAGAGGCATGTGCAGCGATAGATTCGAGTTAAGCTTGCGCAAATGTCCCACGGGCGGCAGTTGCGATGGCGGATCTACGCACATGGAGGCGCGACGATGTTGATGGGAGCTGGAGGCAGCCGGTGGTGCCAGGCCCCGCGGAAACTGCGTAGCTTGCTGGCGATCTAGATTGGATTGGAAAGCATAAGATACCACGAACAAATTAGCTCCACAGGTCTTCACTCACCCCCCGGCAAATAGAGCTGTTCTTCCTCAATGGGTGCGCCACTACGAAACCGCTTAAAGCCATGCTCATCACCATCAGCGTCGTCATCTTCATGGTCGTAGTCAATGTGCTCGTCTTCATTACGGCTGCCAACGCTGCGGCGACTGCGTGTCTGCTGGGATGGGAAGGTCGCCTCGTCGCTGGCTATATAGTATATGTTTTTGGGCTTGCTGCGCACGCCGGCGCGCTTGCAGAATTCCTGGAAGAGCTCGTCCTTGGTCTTGCGTATGCCGCGCTTAAGACCGCACAAGCGGCGCGCCTGCTCTTCAGTCGCATCCTCATCGATATCCATGTCCCGGCTGTAGCGAATTCTTCTCGGTTGCTCCATTTCCACATGCCGACCTCCTCGACCACCACCCACCGGCACCGTATTGGTGGCCATGTTGCGTCTGCTTCGGCGCTCCAGCTGCTGCTGTTGTGGCGGCGCAGACGTATAAATGTCCGTCGTGGTGGACACGGACCGAGTCAGCGGAAATTCCTGTGGCAGATCGGCAAACGTTTGTTGCGACAGTTTCGCATTGGCTGCACCCACACTCATGCGAACCGCTGAGGGTGGTGGTGGTGGTGGCACCGCCGGTGGTGTCATTTCGGTGCACAGCTCATTGAGGGATTTGGCAAAGCTGCGGGAGTGTAAATTACACTTGGAAACAGCAGGCTTCTCAAAGTAAAAGCGGCGCTCCAGATCATTGTGCAGATACAGATTCAAGTTGGACCCGTCGCCGGGGCCCAGGAGGTTTGGATGCTTCCGGCAGGCATAGCCGGTGGGCGGCGTTTGCGCCAAGCCCACATTGGCGCTCACATCGTGCACCTGATGTAGTCGTCCATTGGCCGGACCTGTACGCAGCCCGGCGTGACGCCCATGCTGTTGCTCCTGTTGGTGCTCCTGCTGTTGATGTTGTTGTTGGCGACGAGTCTGCGACACCGCTACAGTGTGGCCTGCAATGGCGCCGCCCGGTTGCTTGTAGCGCTTGTAGGAATGGCTAAGCGGATGCTGACCCTCCTTAACCTTCTCTTGTATGCTGGAGATGCTGAAGCAGGGTAGACGCTACAAATACAAATGATTAACATTAATTCATAGAAACCAATGTGTTTACCCATCCCTATATATTACTCGAAACATTTGAAAAGATTGTACTTATTTAATAAGTCCTAAGTAGCATTAAAAATCCATTTTAGCTAAATTATTAATATACAAGTATGTTCAAATATACAAGTATATGTGAAAACTCCCTTAATGGACACTCTCTTCGACACTTTTTCTAAAACATTCGATCGGCGTATAAAGTATTTAAGCATCTCCTTTAGCGGACACTCCCCTTTGACGGTCAAAGATTGGAAGACCGTGAGTGTCCGGCCAAGAGAGTTTCACTGTTGCATACTTGAAATGGTTTGAAAATTTGTTAGTTTTTTGGTTATTTATTTCAGCATTAAAAATAATGTACTCTGGCTCTATTTGTTGATTCCTCAATTTCTGACGCAATGTGCATTTATTATTAGCGCCCGCCCCTTTGTTTTCATTTATCTTTTCCATAAATATATTTCGAAGCAGGGCCTTGAGAAGCTTTTGTTTTAAAGAAGAAAATTGTTAGTTTCAAATAAGACTGCCGAATTTTATTTATAACCACCAAGATATTATCTGAAACAAAAAATCCTAAATAAAAGCTACCATAATGGAAATATATAAGGATGTGAAAAGATGTATTATTGATGGCGAAAATGTACATCTACATATCTGTGTGTGGCTGTGGCGAGCAGCACCAAAACTGTTGCTCAATTAATTCAAAAGTTACAAGAGCTTTGGTTTTGAACACATTTATTTAAATGAATGCATACTACATATATACATACTAAATATATATCTCTTTCAGCGAATGACTGCAAATCAGCGTGGGCGGCCTTGCGTGACAGCTGCAGATGCCACCATAAGAAATCTGCAGCCAAAAAGTGGAAGTGGAAGTGCAGACGGATTCGTCATAGCGGAGACAAAAAAAAAATAGTTGAAAACAAGGAGTCCCGAAAGAGTTACAAAAGTTGTCAGACATGATATTTCAATTCGTAGTGAAACAAATGGAAAGAGCGTGCTAAGCATTTAGCTCCCCCATTTACCAGTCCTGCAGTATCTGGACAGGATGTCTCTAGCAGAAGCCTTTATAGATCTAACAAAAAAGAATTGGATAGTCCGCTGACCCCGTGGTTAAAAGCTCACATATTGTCAGGACGAATGGACTAATAATCAAGCATAGTTGCTTTATACTAAATATTCGAAAATGTTTAAATATTGTACATTTATTTAAGTTTTTCATTGATTTTGCACACCAAGAGACAAGGCACATTCAAAGGAAGCTACTTACACAGGCTTTTATTTTATCCCGAATATAATTGTTTGAATGCCTAACGAGCACGGAGGCCTTGGACTGGGATAGATGCGTGGCTTCCGGGTATTTAGGATTATACTTGTATTTCATTCGCAGCAAATAACTGTAAAGCAAACAGCGTGCTGTAACTATTTTTGATTGCCTCTCTTAAGCTGACAAAGCAGAATAGCGCTGTTTGTTTGTTGACACTAATACCACATCTTAAAAGGGAAACTAATGAAAAAAATTGAATGTGTGGCATTTTGTGTTGATTTGGACACACATTTCAACAAAATTGAAAAAAAGGATCAAAAAAATTGGTTGACCTCAGCACTAAGCTTTACTGAAACAAGAACAAATACGGGCTTTCAATAAAAGTCATAAAAATAAATATCGCCAAAAATGAAAAGTTGGAATTTTATTTGTAATATACTTGTACATATAGTAGTTCGTTGGAATTCGAAACCCTACGCTTTCGTAACTAATTCATGTGACAAAGATCTACACATACGTATGTATGTATGAGATATACAGGGTATATATCTTTTATGTCGGTATGTAAACAATGAATATCTTTGAAAATAAACAATCGATTTTCAAGTATGAGATATTTTTATTTAATTTGGTTCTGTACAATTTCTTGAACTGAGGCTTTCTACACTGGTCTACTCAAGTCAATCGGTTCACTAATGACAAAGTTATTCAATATCTACATACCGACATAGAAGATGGCGCACCCTGTACGTGTGTGTGTATGTTTGTATGCAGGTTTGTTTGCTGGCTTTGAATATTTCAGTGCTGCCTGCGGCACCTATGGGAGGTTGGCAGTGGAACGCAAAATGGCATAAATCGACATTTATTTAGTTGTATGCAATGCTCCCACAAACACGCACATATGTTTACTTGTACATACAAGTATATGTAGTACACTCTACTTGTATATATGTATGTATGTACATACAATAGTAGTAATCTGTTGACAAATGCACAAGCAGATATATTCACTTATACAAGTATGCAGTGGCTTTTAGAGGTCGTTTGTTTATTGAATTCAAACACACGGCTATGTGGGGGGCATTCTTTTGACTTTGGTTTAGGACTGTTCCATATACAAGTATGTATTCTCTGCTTGCTCGTATGTGGATGGACAGCTTTTGGGGCTGATCTAGGACACCAATCACATTATCACTTCCATGCAACTGCACGCACACAATTCCCACATCCACCATTGCAGCTAAGGGCCACCCATCGACCCAGGCAACTGTCTTCAGCTTCAGCTTCGGCATCTTCATTTTGTTTTCATTTCTTTTGCCATTTCGATGAGCAGCGGAAGTTGACACGAAAGGAAATTTCATAAGCCATCGCTGACAACCATGTGCACGCTCGTTATGCATAATTATGAGCGGATGTGGCATACCCTCTTCCCCCATTCCCCCACCGTACTCACACTATAGTAGCTGACCTCCTGCAGATTGATGTAGAGGAAGATGTTCAGCACGCCCACGAATTCTGTGGCTATGAATCCGAAGACAAACAGAAAGAAGCTCTGCCCGTAGGTTACTTTGAAGAGGGCCGGCTGAAGGGTGGAGCGCGGTCGCAGCTTGGATCCAATCTCTGCCTTCAGTATCGATATGTAGGCAATTAGACCGATGAGCATAACCAGACCTGCAATTAGAATACAAAACTTCGCAAAACTACACCGCATGTATGACCTCCCGATACTCACCGCTAACTATAAAGAGAATGCCGGCACTAAAGTAATATAAATTGTTCTGATGCGAGCATGTGGGTATCAGAAAGACAATAAAGCTGATGAGCAGAAATATGCCGGCGGCCAGAAATATGGGACACGATTTCGTGACAGTATCTGCAATGATAAGGGGGAAGAAAATTACAAAAGATTGTGGACAAGATTTGTTGTCCGTCTTACATCCATATTTTGAACGGAATATGTAAAACACAAAACATATAGAAATAAATCCGTATCCACAACTTTATAATTCTGCAAATTTATGATTGCAATCCTCGGCATTAATTAAGCATTAATTGCAATTTATAAATTATTTAATATAAAATATGCTTATATGCCTTGCACCTGAAGGGTATACTACCCATACTACATTTAAATAATCAATGAACTAAAATTTGTATGATGATTTGTAGACGTATAAATACTATTATAGTCGATTTAAAGGTCGGTTTAAAAAGCGACGAGAGTTTTGTTAACGTAAAGACGGCCTCACGCGAATTCACGACGCATGGGCACGCAAAAAACCAAACATCTTTGCTAACATCGTCTCTCTTTTGCGAAAAATAAACAGTTTTTTCTGCATATGTACAAACATGGACTTTTTGATTTAATTCTATAATTTACAAATAAAAGAAACAATTTATATAACTCAGCTAGATATAAGCCTGAAAAGGGCACTAAAATTCTAAGCCTTAAAGAATGTTAGAAAAATTGAAAACCAGAATAGAATGCTGGAGTCGAACACTCCCAACTCTTGCATGCCCTGTACCTAAGCTAACAAGTAAAAAAGCTAAAGTCGGGTGTCCCGACTTTGAAATACTCTGTACATATGTTTACAATAATTATAGAAAATAAAAAAATTAAGAAAATAAAAAAAAAAAATTTGATCGATTTTACCTCTCTCGGTATTCGAACTCACGTAAAGGGTGTATAATTGCACATTTACATAACAATTGCGTCTGTGTGAGTGTATGTATGCCTATGCGCATCAATTCGTGTCTGTGTAAGCATTTTCGCAGTCAACCAAACAGCAACATCAACAACAGCCGCGGGCAGCGCTTGAGCAGCGCTGCAGCAGCGCTGCATCAGCAAATATATTTATGGCTATAACTTCTTGTTAAATCGGTCTATCATAATGAAATTTGGCATACGGACACATAATAACCAACTGGGGGTATTTCCAAAATTTTAGTTCGAAATTCCAAGAATTACGAGAGTTACGATTTGCGGGGTAGAGGGGGGAGGGAGGGGAATTCCAAAATATACATTTTCTGCGTATTCACATAAGGCATCTGGGACTAAAATTTGGTGTTCCTAGGTCTTATAGTCTCCGAGATATAGGCGATTATACGAATGGAAAATCGGGAAAACCCCCATAGGGGGGAAGTGGGGGGGAAAATCAAAAAAATAAAACAAACTCGTATAGAATACACACATAACGCATCTTTGTGCAAAATTTGGTGTCTCTATCTCTTATAGTCTCTGAGATCCAGGTGTTCATACGGACGGACAGACGGACAGACGGACAGACGGACAGACGGACAGACAGACAGACAGGGCTAGATCGACTCGTCTCGTCATGCTGATCAAGAATATATATACTTTGTGGGGTCTGCCACGCCTCCTTCTGCCTGTTACATTTTTCAGCTCCCGCAAACCTAATATACTCTTGTACATTTCATGTACAGAGTATAAAAAGTATACCTTTTTACCTTCTGCATGATCCTGAACTAGGGATGTAAGTCGAAGGGAAAACATCGATGTTGATGTACATCGATGTCTCTTCACAAATAATCGATCGCAAAAAAACATCGATGCATCGATGTTTTAAAAAATTAACTTTCCATAGAAAAAAAGCTATTATTAAAATTGAAATAAAAAGTGTTTATTTATCAAGGGAGACTGTCATAGCATTTTACTTAATGTTGTTAATCAAAATAGTACTCGTAATATTGACTTTTGACGAACTTGTGTGGCTTACTTCAAAAAACTGATTATATACCGTTTTTAAAACAACGACGCGTTGCAGCTACACCTTTCAGGCATACATATTAAGTGTGACATTACATACGAAAAAAAGAAGATCAAATACTTAACAATCTAAAATGTATATTATAAAATACACATTTTAACGAAAACATCAAAAAATTTAGAATATAAATAAACCTTCTTCGATAAATCACACAAAGAAATGTGACCGCCAAACAAAACATGAATAATGTTCGATGTTTGTCCAAACATCGATGGCTCGACGATGCATCGTTAGCAAAAAAAAAAACATCAGAAAACATCGATGCATCGTGGTAAAAACATCGTCGATGCTAGATACATCGATGTTTTTTTACATCCCTATCCTGAACTTAAAGTAAAATGGATTGTGTAATGGTTGGCCAAGCGAAAGCTTAAGTTTATTCCTTTAAAATACTAAGTGGAGAAAAAGTTGTGCGGCTTGATCAAAAGCTATTGTTGGCCAGTACTTACTGTATTAATAAATGTATTTTCTAGTTTATAGATTCAGAGTTAATAAACACTTGTGCAAATTATATCGACATTTGGGCTTTAACTCGTGATTGCATTAGCTTGAGTGCGTAATACATCTTTGTATTAAAGAGTGGAAACTTGTGAGATATTTAGCGTCAAATGTGGTTGATGGCCAAAAGAGTGGTGATTGGCTAGTGGGAGGCTGGGTTGACTGGCTGTGGCTCAAAGGGAATGTACGTAGTAAAAAGATATATACGTGTATATACTATATATATTTATATACAAGTACATGGATTGGCAACAGCAGCTCGTAGTGGGGGATAACAATGTCAATAGCTTTTGCTAATAGTTTTATTTCAAATTGCCACCCGCGGCCACTTTTGAATTAGTTTGCACGACGAGCTGGACAAAACGGTTTTTTGATGCATTGTTTTGAGTTGTTGTGGATTGATTGTTCTTGTTGTGTTGTTGTTGCTGCTACTGTTGGCTCTGTGTTGGCTCTGTGTTGGCCAGAATGCGGACATTAATGAAATATATTTGAAACGAACTGGCTGGTAATTGAGTGAAATGTAATGAAATTGCACTGTAAATGAAAATGAAATGTCAGCGCGAATATTTGCAACGACCGAGAACGAGGCGCTTACTATAAAGCAGCACCCCCCTCCATTTAAACCAAACTTATTGTGAATAGGAGAGACAGCGAGATTGTGCTGCCGTTTTACCTACTGAACGTACATACAAACAAACAAATATATATATACACACACACATACATACATGAATAGCAAACTATGTACAACATGGGTAACAAGAGCCAGGACCAAAGTATTTGAATTAATTAAGAACGGAAACCCAACACCCAACACCCATTGCCTCTCCCAATTGCAATTCCAGTTCAATGATTATGCATGCGAACAAAGGCATTAATGTACTGGGAAAGGTACATGGGACAAGGGACCACCAAAGCCAGCCACCGAACCAGCCGCCGAACCAGCCACCGAACCACCCACCAACAATAACCAGCCATGAATGAAATGCAACTTATATTGTATTTGTATGTAGTATGTTTTTAAGCCCAAGTGTGTGCATGCAAAGCTATTTGTTTGCATTCGAAAGGTACAGGTACAGGTCTTTATCAATCATTGTCCCAGGACTTTAATGAGCCATAAAAGCATTGCAGCAATGGAGATCCCATGATAATAAGCATATACTTGCAAGTAGTACTATTACGTTAATATCGGTTTGTCTGTTTTAGGGAAGCCTAACAAGTCTGTAAACAATTTGATATGCAGATTCCAGATTTATGCAGATTGCTGACAATTGCAATATTCCAGCCAAATACCCGAAATGAAGTGTAAAACTTGCCCCTAGTTGCAAATGCTTATGATAAATATTGTTATTATTAAAAATGCCATTTCTTGGACTGAATATTCATTTATTTGCATTGTCCGAACTGAACTGAAATTGAAACATATTTTGCGAAATTAATTGTAATGAAACTCGTTTCTGACAACTAGACATATATACATAAATCAAATACAACAAGCGTCATATGAGCAACTAAAATTTGTGCATTGATGCAACGCCAAGATACGCCTGAGAACATTTTATATATGCACCTACAATATGTGTACATACAAGTATTGCGAGCACTTTGTTTACACTGCCATGAATATGTGGCAATTAGTTGTCTGTTTATTATGTCAATACATCTGAACAGCATGGCCTGGTAACTACAAGTACTACCAACTACCACATCAAGGCACAGTTATGATTTCTTCCAGCCAACGGCACTTCCACTATATTTCTATTACTCTTTCTGGGGGAGTCTGGTCCACCTAGCTCTTTTATTTATTGCAGAGTTCCAAGTTCTTCACGGATTAGCGGAGCAGATCAAAGATACAAGTATACTCGACATAGCTATGTCTGTCTCTGGCCGGAACACCTAACATGTAGACTAATCGTATTTATACGCAGAACCAGTTAATCGCACACCATAGCCCGAGTATTTTTGTACCCTGCATTATTTCATTTCTGTGATTCCCCCTCGCCCTCTCTCTGCAGCAGAAATTCGTCTATGCTGTTCACATTTCAAAAGCCACACAAACAGAACTTAACACGCATAATTTATGTTCAATTATGTATCTACTACTTGTATTTGTTTTAAGTTTTATTCAAATCGGTCAATTCTAAGCCATTACAATTTCACTCCAGTACTACGACTCTTCTTCTTCTTCTTCTTTTTGCTTCTGCCATGGGCGCATATATCGCAGAGTCTGGGCCTTGCTCTCTCTCTCTCGTTTGTTATACTTGTAGCTGTCATAGGAACAATAGGTGTGAAGCGCGCTTTTGTTTTATTATATCGTAACCAATCTTGGTATTCTCATTGGTTTCTTATACAAGTAATTCCTCACCGTATTCTGGGTGCAATAAATTTGGTTTGGGTTCATTGATGAGGGGAGAGGGGGAGAGGGGTCCGGCGTTAATCATTAAATTATCTACTCACATGGTATTGCTGGCGTTGAGTCATGCGGATCTGGTTGGTAGCCCTCTTTGGGAAAGTAGTCGATTTTAATGCAATTATATGTGTCCATGTCGAGGCCTGCAAAGTGGAAAGTTAAAGCGAATGATGTAAATCTGTGTTAAGTCCAATCAGGTGGGCAGGCAATAACAACAACAACAACAATAACAGAAGCAGAAAAAGCAACAGCCACAGTCACAGTCCCAGTCCCAGTCTCATAGGAGTGCAACATGTTGACCCTTGAACCAATGCGAAATCCAATAAATCGAGACGCTGTCCTCGCCATAAATTCACAAAGCCAAACATCAAGTTGGCCGGCCACATTATGAAAGCCTCGGGTTGAGAATATGTCCTTCCACAGGGGGCAGAAAACTTAATAAATCAGCCAAATGAACCAGAAGAAGGAGGGGCAACACAAAGTTGACAAACGCCGGCAAAGACTAATTCACTGAATGACTGAGCGACTGACTCACTGACTAACTGACAGGGTGGCAAACTGACTGACTGGTTGACTGAAGACTGGTTGGTTGAATGGCTAGCTGGTTGACTGTTTGACTGTTTGACTGTTTGATTGCGTGAATGAATGAATGAATGAATGTTGTATGTTCGCTGATCAGTTTCGTTTGCACGTTTGTTTGTTTGTTTGTTTGTTTGTTTGCTTTGTGCCACTGATTGATTGATTGATTGACTAATGATTGACTGGTTTTGCTGTTGCTGTGTATTGTTTCAATTGCCGTTGCTGTTACTTTCGTGTGTATTTGTGTGTAAAACATTGCACAGTTTATGCAGCGGCTTGTCTCATTAAATGCAAGCCGACCACAAAAGTTACACAGCCAACATGACGTATGCGCAATGCGAACATTCTATGTGGTGTGCGTATGTGTGTTTTATGTGAGTATGTGAGTGTTTTATTGTGTGTGTGTGTGTGTGTGTGTGTGTGTGTGTGTGTGTGTGTGTGTGTATGAGTCTGCGACTGTCACATTTGTCTTCATTTCGTTTGCGTAACATGTTACATGTGAGCAGCAGGAAAATTGCTTTTCTTCCACACTAATTGCATCACATTTCAGCATTTCATCTCCACTGCCAAAATCCAGCATTACACACACACACTCACGAACATTTACCTGGCATTGTGGTGCACAATATCCAAAGGCTCGACTTGGTGTACTTTGTAATATAGGCGCCATCATCCAAAGCATTGAAATTGGCCGTACCATTGTAGTTAACATTAGGCAGCTTCTCCTCAGTAAAGAGCCACTGTGGTCCGGCCAGAGCGGCAATAACAATGGCCACCGAAATGCTGCAAAGATGCAAAACGGAGAATCATGTTGAATTTTTCACTCAAAGCTAAGTCAAAATCAATAAACAAATATGTGTGTGTGTGTTATTGGTGCCTAACGATATGCGCTGATTAAAAAATTTTTCGACTAAGGAAGGGGAGCAAACGATATGCAAATACTTGCCTCATAAATTGTCGAATAGAAAATACGTATTTATATACACACATACATACATACATATATACACACATACTAATACATGTATGCTGGCGTGTTTGCAAACAAGATGATAATGGCTCCAACTTTCGCCCCTAGGGGGCAAGGCAATAACACTTCGATTCCTGCTTTTCCAATTGGCGCTGAGCGGCATCAATCAGCATTTAAGTATTCTCGTGTGAATCTAAGATTATGTACGCATATTTGTTTTCAGATCAATAATTTTATTCATTTTTATGGAACAACTTCGTTCTAAATACCGTTCTGAACAAAGGCGAACTGATCTGTAATTAAATACATAGGCTGCAAGCCTGTTGACATCTTTATGGAAGAGAATGCGAAACAATTCCTGAAAATAGTTGACCATTACTGTTCGAATGATTCGCATAATGAATGCCAATAATTTAACTCTCATCGATAAATCGCATTCCAGTTGGCTTATTCAAAGAACTATTTAGAAATCTTGTCTATTTCAATATTTAATTCAATATAACTAATAATTTCAATATTATTGTTGTTGGCTCTTCTCAAAAGAGAAATAGCTACATTGTTATGTTAGGGCAAATATACCTAAAATATTAATTTAATTTATCACATATTCCATTCTATTTGCCAAATTAGATTATGTATGAAATATATTGAATGCTTTAGTTTAAAAGGAGATCCCAATTTCAATTTCAAGAACTTTTCCTTTGTTGTGCACGGGGACGTCTTAAATAATGAATGGCATTCATACACGAGTTGAACAAAGACATGAATTCGCATTCAATATGGCGATACAAATCTGCGAGTCTGACACAACACCCAGCAGTACTCGTAAAAGTCTAACGGAATGACAGTTGGCACATCTCATACACACGCACACAACCAAAGCCGTCCTTAGCTGTCGCAGCGTAGCAGGCAACAAGCAGTCCTGTCAAGGAGGCTCCCACGTAGTAAATGTCGACGCAGCCTCTTTAAAACCGAAAAGAATGTGCACCGCGCATTCTGCACGCTCCAAAGTCCTACGCATAGACACACACACACACACAAACACACACACACACACACACACACACACACACACACACACACGCACAACACATTAAACTGTATGTTCAGTTGCAGCAGCCACTCCCACATCCCACATCCCACACCTCATCCTCTGACAAAGCTGACAAATAATTGTGTTAGTAGCTGCGAGCCCGAGACACAAATCACCGCAAAAAGTAGGTTTAATTTGTTCGCCAACTATTTGCAGAGACTGTGGCCCACTGGGCGTATACTTTTCAAACTGACTGTGGCTGCAAGCTCTTTCCAAGTTGAGCCAACGAGATTCGTGAATATTGCATTTATTATTGGAGAAAGAAATTCAAATTCACAAATTTTCTTCACTTCAATCAAAGTTATGGCTCCGGCATTCGTATCTCGATGCATGAATATATCCTTGAGTGCCGCTCCTGCCACGGAATGCCTAATAATTGGGCTTTATGTTCAGCACATTTTTCTTGCACGCACTCTCGGTGTGCATGCTTTGGAATCCGGCAGTACGAAAGAACTTGCCGCACTTCTCGCAGCGATGCTTCCAGGTGTGGTGCTCGGAGTCGCGCTGATGGGCGTAAAGGTCCTTGCTGCAACGAAAGAATTCAAACAAAAGACTTCAATTTCGAATGCGCCTAAGCCAATACTCACCGACTAGTGAAGAACAGGTCGCAAACGTCCGATGGGCATTCGAAAACAATGTCCAACTTCTTTGGCGATTTCTTCGACTTAAGGTCCAGCTTCTGCTCGCCCTTATTCTCCTTGTCCTCGTTGCGGCTTGGAGGCGGCGAGTGGAAGGAATATGGAGGCTCCTCAAATGGCTCCGGTTCGAAGCAAAAAGCTTCAGCTACAGCCGAAGCTGAGGCTATAGCTGGCGACAGAGGCATGTCCTGTATGCCCATAGCTTCAATTTCCGCTACAGACGCCGAGGCAAAACCAATTGGAGCATTGTTAAGCTCCTCCAATACACCCAATACGGCATGTGACGGAGCCAATGTCGGAGGTGGCGGTGGCGGTGGAGGTAGCGGTGGAGGTGGCGTCTTAGTAGCCGCCAGCGATGTGGCAACCGCTTCGACAGTCACGGCGGCCGCGTTAGCAGCAGCCTGCTCGGCCGTGATCACTGCATCCTTGGGAACGCGACCACGACGCTTGGAGTACTTCTTGTAGCTGAACTCGTGCAGGGCATCGCTGGGCTCATAGCGTGGCATCAACTCTTTGCCCGTACGCTCTTCGATTTCGCGACGTACGGTAATCGGGATCTTGTGGCTTTTGAGCCTGCGCAATGTACAAATGTACAAAAACAAACAAAACAAAAAAAAAAACAAAATAATGGCTCTGAAGTAATGCCCTTTACCAGCATTGTGCCACCCCATCGCTCTTACCAGGCGTCGTTCTGCATCTGCTCTGATGTCTCGAGAGGATCCTGCCGGAAGAGCGTACGGCGCGAACGATACTGCCTCTGCTCGCCCGTTGTGTCCTCAGGGGGCTCCACTGGACGCTCGAAGACGGGCAAGCTTGGATGCAACTCGCGTGCAGCTGCATTTTTGTTGTTGTTGTTTTGTTTTTTTTTTTATTTTAAATTTGTATTTCACTTAACAGCCTCTAACCTCACTTTCTCCATTTTACTTACCCTCGTAGCGCTCGTAAAACTCCTTGCGCTTGTTATCGTAACGATTGGAAAATAAACTTCGCATCTTAAATTATTGCACTTCACCCGATAGCAAACGATTTCAAAATATGAAGCTTATCTTTAATTTATCTTGAACGTTTCGGATTATCAATAAAATGTAAAATACAAGTATTATCACAATATCTTTTCAGAGCAGTCCGCACGTCTGTACGTTCCAAACGCACAACGAAAAAGAAGGCTCGCATAGAGGAACCATTTTGACGTTAATGACAAGCAAATCAAAATTTTATATGCAGCCCATACCGTATACGGTCCAGAAGTTGGCAGGCCTTTAATGACAAAGCGACTGCTCTAAAACGTCGCGTTTCACAACACTTCTAGAAACTGCACGCGAGTGTCTCGAATTACAGCACTAATTGCATCCCATTCAATAGCTTCCCTCTAAAAATCATTCTCACTGATGACCAACTGATTTGGAGATATATTGGAGATGTATTTGGAGATAATAAGTATTTGGAGATACTATATGTAACTTATTTCTGTAGGTTAATGGAGAAAATTCGATTTAACGACAAATAGTTTGTCTGAAACATGCCTGTCTGTCCGTCTGTCCGTCCGTCTGTTCATATGAACACCTAGATCTCACAGACTATAGGAGCTAGAGACACAAAATTTTGCACAAAGATGCCTTATGTGGGTACGTTATACGAGTTTGTTTTATTTTTTTTGCTTTTCTCCCCCACTCCTCCCCTATGGGGGATTATCAACTGTATCTCGGAGACTGTAAGACCTAGGGACACCAAATTTTAGCCCAAGATGACTTTTGTGAATGCGCAGAAAATGTGTATTTTGGAATTTCCCTCCTTCCCCCCTCTCCCCCGCAATTAGTGATCTTCCATATTTCCCGTAATTCCTGCAATTTCGAACTCAAATTTTGCAATTACCTCCAGTTAGTGATTATGATTATGATAGGCCGATTTAACATGAAGTTATAGACATATAGTATTTGGCCAAACGCTGTGGTTGTTGTAGATGCTTTGGTTCGACATTGTTATGCATATATGCTCACATAGACACGCATAGACATGCATACACACATAGACACACCTCCAATGTAAATGTCTAATTATACATCTTTTACGTGAGTTCGAATACCAAGGGAAGTACATTTTTTTAATTTCTATAATTATTCTACACATATGTACCGAGTATTTCGTCTTTAGCTTCTCTACCTGTTTTCTATTACGCTTAATAGCTCCCCTCATGGATAACACAGGACTCGGGTCTAAATACATACATCCCCTAAAATCCGAACAGAACATACAGGCCTAAGAATTCTATGAAATGGAGAGCTCTGTCCATCATCATTTTGTGTACAAATACTTGTATAGTATACAAGTAGTATGTATGTGTATAGAATCTATAAATAAGTTTGCAAATCAAATTTTCATTGCCAAGTTGCCACATAATATTATATCAAATAATATATGCCACCTACCTTGCGGCAACAGGTGTCAGCAGCCACAGGTAGCCGCCACTGACTGAGGCCATGGTGGTGAGGCCGCCTCCTAAGCCACTCGCGCCGTTCAGGGCCGTATTTGGTCGTTGTTGGCGCTCAATACTTTTATAGGCGGCCATTAGAGGGGCGTGTTGTTGCTCTTGGAGTAGCTGCTCTCGAGCTTCCCGTTGTCGCCTTCCACCAGTATTATTGTAGTAGTTGCTGCTGCTGCAGTTCCCAATGTTGTTGTTGCTGTTGGTGGTGGTGGCGGTGGCGGTGGCGGTGTTGTTGTTGCTGCTGCTGTTTTGATTGATGTTGCTGTTGTTGTTGTTGTGTTGCAGCTTGTTGGACTGCAAATCGCTAAGGCTGTCAGTAAGTGTGGCGAAGCCCGTGGCCGGAATACTTCCGGAAATTGTGTTGATCACGCCCATCTGTTGGCGCAGGGGCGTAAGCGTGTTCGGTGGTTGCTGAGGTGCAGATGTCCGGTCCTGTGATGAGGAGCCGCTACCGCTTTGCGCCCGCAGCTGTTGCAATTGCCGCGGACCCCGGGGCAAGGTTGCATAGGGAGAATGTTGCAGTTGTTGTTGTTGTTGTTGTTGTTGTTGCTGTTGCTGTTCTTGCTGACCCTGTGTGGGTGGAAAGCTGCTGCGCTCAATGGATGCTGTAGTAGTTAACTGATGCATTGCCTGACGTTGTTGCTGCTGCTGTTGTTGCTCGTAGCTGTTGCTCCTCGCGGGCATAATTACAGAGCTATTGTTGTTGTTGGCCACATGACCATTGGCCTGCTGCTGTTTATTGTTGTTGTTGTTATTGCTGCTGCTGTTGCAACCGCTGCTGATGTTGCTGATATTAGTGTTGTTGCCGAGGGTCGTGGCCGTTACGCCCATGTTGTTAATGCTGTGCGAGGAGGCCACACGAAAAACATTCGGCACGGAAGGATAGTCACGCATGGCTGCCTGAATGCACGCCTAAAACTATGCTGCTGTTAATGTGGATTTGCAGAGCCGCACCCCCGCATCCAAATCGTTGCTCTCAAATCTTTTCGTCGAAAAATATAAGATATAAGCTCACTATGCCAACACTAGTATGCTTTGAACAAATATGTTGCTTTTGGATAAAAAAAAAAGTTAGCGCATAACTTATTTAAAACACTGCAAATAATAATATGTATGTTAGAAAGAGTTTCAAATTAAGCGCTGCTGCTAAAATTAATGTAGGCCAAGAGCATACATTTTTATTTATTATTATTCTTTTATTGAATAGGATTATTTAAAATTCTTTAATCTCTTTTATTTTCTTTTTCAAGTTTATTGGCTAATATTCCTATACGATCGCTCGGAATTCTTGATTCACGCTATAAACAGCCATTTATTCGTTTATTAACTATCTGCTGGCTTATCTGAAAACACCAATGTTAATTAAATAGTTAAATAGTTTTCCTTTTCATAAGCTTATCATTCTTATAAGACTGCTATCACTGATATAAAAAAAATATTTGAAGAGCTTCTCAACTGTCCAAGAATTGTGGTCGATGTCGTTTAATACTCGAACAGCAATGTTGAATAGTAATTTAATGGAGTACTTTTTTAGAAAGTTGTTAAATATATTGTTATAAACAAACAACAGCATTGAATAATAATAAAATTTCTCAAAACCTGTTTTGTGATGACAGAATTATAAATAATTTTAAGCAAGGCTAAATAATGCAAATTACCATAACATTTAATAAAGTGTTTGATTCCCAAAATCTTGGAATTAAAGTAAATTTAAATAAATAATGTATTGGGAACGATAAACACATTGTCTAATGGAAACTATTTTAATATTTCAGATATTCACTTGCTGCACTTAATTGGAAATAATATTGTTTGTACTTGGCTAAATAATGCAAATTACCATAACATTTAATAAAGTGTTTGATTCCCAAAATCTTGGAATTAAAGTAAATTTAAATAAATAATGTATTGGGAACGATAAACACATTGTCTAATGGAAACTATTTTAATATTTCAGATATTCACTTGCTGCACTTAATTGGAAATAATATTGTTTGTACTTGCTTCGAGTTTTTGATTCAGTTTTTGTATCAGTTGTTAGCTTTTCAGTGTTTTCAAGGTTTCATTAAACTTCAAATGTGGCTTATGTGCGTGGAGGTGTACGCGTATGTGTGTGCGTGTGTGTGTGTGTGCATTAAATGCACATTAATTGCAGGCCGTGACGACGCTGCCTCATTAAGTCGAAAGCTGTTAACGCACTTACACATTTAAAAAAAAAAAAAACAAGAAAAACATATAAAGCGAGTTGAAAAATTGTTTGGAAAAAACTGTTGCCTAACCGAGAGGCGCAGTGAGTTCGAAATTGAAAAGGCGCGCGCGTTTTAGCTTCGTTCGGATCGGATGTGGAATGTGAAAAATGAATGCTGATGAAGGCTGAACTGAGGCCGCAACTCGTGTCCGACGCGTTGGAGAGTCTTTGCTTGACTAACATAAAGGCAGGCAGACAGGCAGCAAGCCAAGGTTCGTGACACGACAGCGCCAGCGCCAGCGACAACGACAACGACGAGGCGAGGCGAGGCGAACCGATGAGGACAGTCGCAGCGCGAGATGGCGAGCACGAGACGAGGAAAATGTGAATGAGGAAGCGAATAAGGATGTGAATGTGGCTGAGGAAGAGGAAGGGCTTGCTTGTTGGCTGCCCTCCTTGGCGTCGCTTGCACGCACTTCGAAAGCGATTATAAAACCCAAAAGCAACACCACCAACACTAAGGCCACCGACAACAGCTACGACAACGTCCACAGCAAAAGGAGCAACAGCAATAACAACAACAACAACAAAATAAGCCATTGCAAGAACAACAAGCAGACGTTTGCAACTTCCGTTGTTAGCTAAAAGTGACTTCCGGCCGCTTAGGGAGCTCTGCTTCTAGTTCTATGTACGCCTCTTTCTCTATATATATGTGTGTGTGTGTGTCTGTATGTCACTCTATACTACATATAAATATATATGTACGTATATACATATATTTATGTGTGGGAGAAGTGCCACCAACAACTGTTGTTGCACTTTGCTGCAAATCTAAGCATTTATTGTAGTTCTTTGTCTTTCATTGTCTCGTTTATTTAATTGAATTCCCACATGTGATTGAAGGGCTCGGCGCGATGATTGCGCCACATTACTACAACACTAACTACCACCCTGCACCACCCTGCACCACCCTGCAGCACCATCCACAACCCCAGCCACCGTACAACACGCAACACGACACTAGACAACAGTGTGAGTCATTAAGTGAAAGTGTAGAATGGAAAGTAGTGCAGCATCACCCAAAGGATTACACACATACATACATGTATGTACATTTATATGCATGAAGTTGCCGATTAGGACAGCATTATGTCCAGCTTCGAGTGTCCTGCATGTGCTCGTTCATATGCTGAGGTAAGAGACACATTTTTACCCAAACAAAAAATATTAAAATAAAACCATGGATTCCACTAGCAACGAATGAATATACACGTTACATGCGACAAAGCCAAAACACTAAGCCACAAAAACAAACGACGTGCAATAGAACATAAGGTGAGGGAGAAAGTAAAGTGCAGCAAATGCTGTTTTATAAACAAAGGCGAAGCCGCAAGAGCAGGATGTAGTGACTGTTGTGTTAAGGATATTCTTAGAACCAACCAAATACCAAACGAGATAGCAGAACATGGAGTTGCTGACGAACTGAATATTATACTTATTGAAGGGCAACATTTTTTTTTGAAAACTATAAAACGATAGTTTGTCAATTTAACTTCACTCCAACACACTAATATAATGAAATACCCAAATTTAATTAGCAATATTCAAGAAATTATTAAGCCAAGTAAGCAATTAAATATTGAATGTGGAAGTAAGAGCCTGCAGCCGCAATATATCTTTTATGACCTAGTTTCTTGTATAGCAACAATAGGAAAATGAAAACTGTTACAGAAAACGCTTTTTTGGAAATTATATTCTTGATCGGCATGAATGCAAGGCAAGAATCCCAACTTCGAGCACGCTGTAAACGTATTGAAAATAAGCTCCAAGATCGTTTATTTCAGGCACGGACAGTCCTTCTATGCAGTGCTGCTTCAGTTCAGCCAATTGTTGTTGTATTTTTTAAGTATAAACATTTAGCTGATTGATAACAGAACTCAAATATTGATCTTAAAAACATAAAGTAATCGTTCGAAATAATTGAATTGTTTGCTTATGGATGATGATACTGATTAAGCAATATAGTAGCATTCAATGTATTTTATCGGCGGGTACTTTTTAAGCAATGCCTACAAATCGTAATGACCAATTATGTTTTTCATGAATGCGAACTAATTAAGACAACAGAAAACACGTTTCGTAACTACTTAAGGCAGTTGATTAAAGATTGCGCGAACACTAAATGGTAAATGTAATAAAAGAGTTCAGGAAACGGCAAACAGCACAAGGCAGGCAAGCAGCTGGTTGTGGCGCTTCACTATATAGTTAGTGCAGGTCTACTGCACAGTGGGTCTAAATAGGATGGAAGTCAAAAACAAATAGTTTATTTATTTATATTCCTGCAATCATGCTAGACTTGGAATATATCTCTTCTGAAGTCTTCATCTGACTTCTATCTTTGGATATACAAGTGTAGTATGTTAATTTTTTTTAAACTGAAATGCAAACAGAAACAATAATAGTCATTAATTAGTTATAGATAGATTTGTATTTTTACTTTCGCTGTTAAAATTTGTACATTATTAAAAGACAATTTGCAGTAAATTGGAAATTCCGCTTATGTCCAGACCTTTAAGTAGTTCCTGCACGCATTCAAGCAATCAATACGCATCAGTTGATTCCGCTAAAAGTATGTAGCCTTCATACAAATAATGTGGTTTGTAAGGAATGATCATAGATGACCGATCTAGACCCAATTACATAGATACAAATCGAGAGCTAGGAGCACTCCACTTTTTTGCTGTTTATCCAAATCTCAAACTTTATCTGAATTGATATCGATGGACAATGTGCTCGACCCATTGCTGGACCTTGTTTGCATTATGTGTCTACTGAAGACAACTTTGTTAGCCGTATAACTACAACTACAACAGAGTACGGAGAACGGCTGCCAGATGTAATTTACATTAAACAAATCGCGCTACCGGCAGCATACATATAGTACTAGTTTCTTGTTGTTACTGTTGTCGGCGAAACATAAAATTAGCTTAAATGGAAGGGAAAAGGGCGGAGGGTACGTTTTCCAAAGTAAGCAAAGCTAAACAGCAGCAACATGAAACAATTGCAACAGCAACAACACTAACAACAACAACAAGAACAACAGGACAACAACAATGGCAACAGCTAGCCTTTGACAGCAATGGGACAGGAAAAAAAATATATATGTACATATACGCCAAAAGAACAAACCGGCAACGAAGAACAAAACAAAGTGCTGTAAAATTTTTGCAGCGCATTTAGATGAAAAGTTGTGCAAAAAGTTGTAAACTCTGAACTATTTAGATGCAACAGTGTATGGACAAACACACAGACACACACACACACAGAAGAAAGGGTGGGGTGGGGGAGAGGGGTGGCTTAGATCTCATATGCGTTTTGCTTTACACATGAAACAACTTAATGTTTGCAATTTTCATACTTTGCAGCCCCGCCATCAAGCATGTAGTACTCGCACACACTTGTGTGTTTGTATGTGTCTATGTCTATGTATGCATGTGTGTGTGTGTGTGTGTAAATATGCGGAGCCTATCATTTTCAATTTGTTAAAGCTTTTTCACGCGCCAAACAAGTATGGAGGCCACCAACAAAGCAGGAAAAACGGAAAAGCGCAGCGTAAGCTCAGACACAAACATAAAATACGAGTGCTATTTTAGTGCTCACACTTTTCGATATTTTTAAATGAAATTTTCTAACACCCCTTCATAGT